GGTTTATGGCAGCATGTAGAAGTACAGACACTGCAGGCACAGCTAGCCTGGGCATAAACAGCAGTGTAGACCGAGAGAGACAGCTTAGGTGAGTAAAGTGCCCTACATGCCTGAACCCTAGGATATATATCCTACGACTCTCTATAGGCCCAAGCAGTGCCTCCAACGTCTACCTTGATATTTTTAGTAGTGTAGTATTCCACTGCTTACCTGCTGCCACAGCTTTTTCCCACCACAGAACAAAGCTTCGGCAGTGGGGAAAGGCTCTGGCAGTGGGAGGCAGCAGGGAGGCTCTAGCAGCAGGGAAAGGCTCCTGTAGGTTACTGAGCCTTCACTGCAGCGTGAAGCTACGAACTGCAGTGAAAAGTGTGGACGCAGCCTGACTTTCACTGTGGCATGCAACTACACGTGTAGTGCCTGTACTCTAGACAGTGCCGTAAGTACAGACAGAGCCTAGGTGACCAACTACACATGAGGAGGAATGAAGAGCAAGTCGCAAATAGTCAAAGCTAACAGGTTGTAAACAACCCAGTATGAAAACAATTCATTTAAACCATATGGTAAATATAACAAATTAACAAAAATACGCTAAAATATGAAGCCACAATTTAAGAGGGAGATTTTCAAAGACACATTTGGGAGTTGACTTTTCAGGGTTGTTGGGGGCTTAACTGCCCTTTGTGTTTTTGAAAATCTCTTCCTAAGTACTTAAAATAAGGATTTTGGTGGCTAATTTTAGGCACTTGAGTTGGAAAACCTAAGCCTATTGTAATGAATTTTCAGCCAGGCCTCAGCGTAGCCTCCAGTTGTGCACGTGCAAAATATGCACACATGTTCATGTGCTTTACAGGTGCAAATACCTGCAAAAAAAATTAAACATTTTACATGTTCCCTTTAACATGACTAATTCCTAAAAACAAACAAATCATTTGCATTTGCAGAAACCTAATGCTAATGGCTTCTTTGGGTGCCAATGCATGTGAGTAAAGTATTAGTCTATTTAAAGGGCCAACATAAGAACAGAAGAACAGCCATACTGGGTCAGACCAATGGTCCATCTAACCCAGTATCCTGTCTTTCAGCAGTGGCCAATGCCAGGTGCTTCAGAGGGAATTAACAGAACAGGTAATCATCAAGAGATCCATCCCCTGTCATCCACTAATAGCTATTGATGGACCTATACTCCATGAACTTATCTAGTTCTTTCTTGAACTCTGTTCTAGTTTTTGCCTTCACAACATCTACTGGCAAAAAGTTCCACGGGTTGACTGTGCATTGCGTGAATAAATACTTCCTTTTGTTTGTTTTAAACCTCCTGCCTATTAATTTCATTTGGTGACCCCTGGTTTTTGTGTTATTCACTTTCTCCACACCATTCACAATTGTATAGACTTCTATCATATCCCCTCTTAGTTCTCTCTTTTCCAAGCTGAAAAGTCCCTGTCTTTTAATCTCTCTTCACACAGAAGCTGTTCTACATCCTTAATCATTTTTGTTGCCCTTCTCTGTACCCTTTCCAATTCTAATATATCTTTTTTGAGATGGGGTAACCAGAACTGCAGGCAGTGTTCAAGGTATGAATTGGTATAGTAGCATAATGATATTTTCTGTCTTATCATCTATCCCTTTCCTAATGATGCCTAACATTCCATTAGATTTTTGTTTGTTTGTTTTTTGAGTGCCCCAGCATATTGAGTGGATGTTTTCAGAGAACTATGCACAATGAGCCCAAGATTTTTTTCTTGAGTGATAACAGCCAATTTAGATTTCACCATTTTGTATGTATAGGTGGGACTATGTTTTCCAGTGTGTATTACTTTGCATTTATCAACATTGAATTTCATCTGCCATTCTGTTGCCCAGTCCTCCAGTTTTGTGAGATCCCTTTGTAACTCTTCGCAGTCTGCTTTGGACTTAACTATCTTGAGTAATTTTGTATTGTCTCCACTTTTTGCCATTTCACTGTTTACACCTTTTTCTGGATCATTTATGAATATGTTGAACAGCACTTGTCCCAGTACAGATCCCTGGGGGACCCCACTATTTACATCTCTCCATTCTGAAACTGACCATTTATTCCTACCCTTTTGTTTTCTGTCTTTTAACCAGTTACGGATCCATGAGAGGACTTTCCCTCTTACCCCATGACAGCTTACTTTGCTTAAGAGCCTTTGGTGAGGGATCTTGTAGGAGGCTTTCTGAAAGTCCATGTTCGCATGCCAATGTTTGCATTTGCAATGTGGAGGTTCATGTTTGTGCAGGAGGAATCTTGCATGCCCACAAATGGAGGCACATGGCTGGAAATCCAGGCCACAATCTCTGCTAAAATGCCTTGCAATGTTTATAAACACCTCATATTTTTGGGCAGATTCGCACCTTTTGTGTCTATGAAACATTTCATAACCATTTCAAAGTATGCAAACTGATTCATAGATTTTGCAGTGTGTGCAGAGCCCACCCACAGGGTTTCTATCGGGTATGCTGGGATGTGCTGTTTGCATGAGTGAATGTGGGTGTTGTGGGTTATGGAATACAAGTCTGAGTTCTCCTCTAAGACGAGGTACAAAAAGCTTCAAACTGACAGGAGGACTGTTTTGCCAAAGACAGCGGAAGTTCAAAAACTCTCTCAGGATATGAACTTACAACCTTATCTGTGGCTTCCCACCTGAATGTTACTGTGCACAGACCACTACCTATGATGTTGACCAACTATGTCTCATTGTACCCCCACACACACACCTGTCTGTATCCATTTGCTGTCTCTTGTCTTATTGCTAGATTGTAAACCTTCTGGGGCAGGGACATCCTTTAGGTTTGTGTTTTTACAGTGCCTAACATAGTGTAGGTCCTGGCCTATGGCTGGGACTCCTATTCACTGTGGTAATACAAATAATACATGATAATAGAAAACATAGCACATGCACAAAAGGAAATCCGAACTTCATCCTGCTATATCATGAATTGCTGGCATCAGGCCACATGATTACCAACCTACAGCATCTATCATTATTAAAAGGCAATACTGGGCCCAGGTAGCCCCACTCCTCTGGGCCTGGCAGCCCACTGCAATTGGAAGAGTGGGTTAAAAAAACCTCAGAAGCCCAGGCAAAGAATAGTGGACAGGCTTCAAGAGAGATGAATCCTTCTCTGGGAAGTCAGCCTGAAGGCAGAGCCTGCAATGGGACCACAAAGCAGATAAAGTCCCAGGCCGGTTCTTCTCCAACCACCCTGCCCCCCTTTGAAACCTGCAAGGCCCTGCTCATTTAGACTTTCTGTTCAATGATTGATTGGACTTTCGGGGCCATACCCCAGGAGCACATAGGTAGGCAGTAGCTCAGGCTGGCAGGCTTTGACTCTCTGAAGGGATGACCCTCCAAGTGTTACTTCCCACAGGGCCCTGGATCAGGACCTGATGGAAAGGAAAAGCCTGCGCCCCCCATACCAAGCCCCGACTTAAGAGAAAAGGCCCAGATGTGGGTAGAGGCTCCAAACATTTGTGACTTAGGATCAGGCATCTCTATCACCTCTAACAGAAACACCAGGGTATGGTGGTCAGGTATGCTAACTGCTAGGCAACCTGGCCCTCTGAAAGCCTATCACATACTCCTATTTCACAGATGAGGAATTAAGGCCTTCAAAGTTTAAGTGACTTGATGGAGAGTGGGGTGTTGAACCTAAAGCTGCTAATTCCTCGTCCAGTACCTTAACCACAAGACCATTCTTCTCCTTTGAATTGTCTCCTCATACCCTGTGAGCTATGCAATAGGGTGAGAAATAATGGAAATGAGGCAAGCATAAAATGAATCTAATTTCCATCCATTTATGCTGAGATAAAGCCATTGTTCTATACACAGCTGGGTAAGGACCCAACATATTGTACTCTTTCACCAAAAATAACATTGAATTCCTATTATTTTATTGACACAAAAATTATACTTTTTACTTATAATCTGCAATTATATCCATAGCAAGTACTAGATACTGTAATTACATCATATTGTATGCATTGCCTATGAAAGGGCTCCAATCATTTCAATTCACTATGCACTAATATAGCACCTATAATATATGGAAATTGGAATAGAAAGGAATAGAATAGACTCTTACATCTATTTATAGAGTGGTTTTCATCCCAAAGGATCCCTAAGAGTCTGCCAAATTACAATTTACATCCTACCCTGCCTCAATAGGGCCTTACAATGGGTCTGGCATGGAGGATGTTGGCCGCCTAAAGGAGGATGGCTTAGTGCAGTCAGGGGGAGGTAGAGAGGGACACACCTTAAAGCCTCTTTCAATTTATTCTAAAAAAGATTTTCTATCTAATGATGCATCCTTTGAGGGCTGATGGGGAGAAAGAACAGGTTTGCCTTCACTCCTATGAGAACAGGTTGAGGGCCTATCGCTATGCATGCAGCCAAGGCTGAGGTTCTGACCATGAAGACCAGGGGTCACGGTGACCATGCCTCACAGTCACTGAAGTGGTAGATGGTCTCCACATCAAGGGTGAAATCCTGACTCCATTAAAGTCAATGAGAGTGTTGCCATTGATTTTCAATGGGACCAGGATTTCATCCATAGTATTCTCTTCCTGTTAGGTTGCAATTCTGCATGAAGCAGGATTTTGCCCTAATATGTCCAGGAATCATTTCACCAATAAAATGGCAGAATTATCTGAAATCGAATTAACGTTCAAAGGAAATGCCCAGTTTCAAATTGCATAGTTTTTCCAAAGCCATTCACCTATCCCAGGAAAACACTTCTTTTTATCTCCCATGTATTAGCATGAATTATATTATCATATTGAACAGAATACCCAATGCTAAGAACAGAGACACTCAAATCAAAATGAAAATGATACCGATCATATTGAAAACACTACATGTTGAATTTGAAAGAGTCAATTTTTTTTTTTAAACTCTTGGCTCCCTTTTGACAATTCCTGGCATATACCTACAGAAACTTGCTTGCAAACCAAGAGCAAGAGTGAATTTTGCACGTACCTGTTTCTCCCCACTCGGCTTTTTGTGATTTAATAAAAGTTCCACAGCTCCAACGACCTCCTTTCGTATGGCATGCAGCAGCGCATCTCCGAGATACACATTAAAACTTAAGAGCAGCTCAATGAGTTCCAGGTTCTCATTTTCAATTGCAATAAGGAGAGCTGTTCTTCCAAGAGGATCAATGCAATTAATATTGATCTTGAAATAAATTTCGGCTTCCTCCAGAGCTTTCTTCACACTAGCATAATCTCCTTTCTCCACAGCATTCAAGTAGGCTTTCTCGGCAGGGGAGAGTTCAGACTCTGCTCGCACTATACGAAGGGGGATGCGGTCTCTGTAAGGGGCATTGACGCTTCTTTTGTAATAGAACTGGGCCATATTTTATGCCATTCTAATACTTTGTCTCTGCAATTTAAAAAGAAAGAGTGCATCGGTTATGGATTCCTGGAATACAGTTCAGCTTCTGATTACTATTATTATATATGCATTACAGTAGCATTTAGAGGTGCTGTATAAACACATAATAAGAGATGGTCTCTGCCCAGAAAACTTCTGGTATAAATAGACAACAGAGACAAAGGGCAAAAGGGGAAACAGAGAATCAAAGAGATGAAGTGCCTTGGCCAAGGTCACAGTGACCAAGCCAAGCACTCAGGTCTCCCCATGCTGATTCTGGTGCCATATCAACTAGATTTTGCTCCTTCCTGGCACATTCTATCTAGCCTAAGACGGACCTAATTTGCACAGTTCAGATCCAGGTGTGAACTTTCTAAAGTCTGGAGTATTTGTATGTGATTCAGCTTTATCACTATTAAACTAATATATTCTAGCAAGTATCCTGAGTCTGGCTTGTAAGCTAGAATTAGGAATTAAAAAGGTAAAATAACATTTATACATTGCCCATGATATTCTTAATATTTAAAAATCCCCAGAATTAACAGATAATGGTGAAGGATTTGGTTTAATCCTTAGCACATTCTAAACTAAAACAAATATCCAATCGCAATTCTAATATCTTAAACATCACCAAGCATGTATTGCCTCTGTTACTGTATTCTTTGCCCATGTAATACCATAGCAATATCTGTTCCTTCTGTCAGGGCAACAATTAGCTGGTAACCTCTGTGGTCTAAAAGAAAGTAGTAACATGATAGGATCTAAAATGTTAGGTTACATGATCAATAAAATACCCCCCTGCAGTTCAAGTAGAGAGGCAGCATTGCCTAGTGGTTAAAAAGACTGAGTGTCAGGTGACCTAGATTCTTTCTCTCTCCGTCTCCCTCTGTGAGAATTTGAGTAACTCACACAGCACTTAGCCTTTGAGTGGTAGTGAGCCCCTTATTTTATAACCCCTCCATCCACTTTAGGAGTGACATTGATGGGCTCCAATCTTGCTCAGGCAGAAGGAGGAATTATTTCTAAGGGCCTCTGAGAATGGTGAATCATAAAAAAACAAGAGGATAATGGGGGGAATCTTGGATATTTGACAGAGACATGGAGAAAATCCTCTGAAGGAGGGGGAAAACCCAGTAAAATACCTGTGTATCAAATAGGGTTCCCAGCCCTCCAGGATTGTCATGAAGTCTCCAGGAATTAAAGATGAATCTTTAATTTAAAATTATCTTATGTGATGAAGCCTCCAGGAATACGTCCAACCAAAATTGGCAACCCTAGTATCAAACCCTAGTTAACAAACTACAACTAATTTAATGTAATCCTATGTAAGTGGTATAAGGAAAGTCAGTAACCAAGCTGCATATGTCCTTGGTCTGTCTGAGTACCTTCTTTTCTAAATGTTTTCCTTTAAGTGACTCGTCAACCTGCTCACCATCCCCTTCCCACCTGAGGTCCACACTCCTCCGGCACCAGAACGCTCCTTTACCACCACCGTCCAACCCCCAGGCTGGAATTTATTCCTCCCTTTCCCCACACGGCCCTTCTCCTTCCAGAGTCAATACTTGGGGCAGTTGAGCTGATAAATCTAGGCTCTGTTATGAACAGTCCCTGCTCCCCTCCACCTTCCATTTCTCACCCTGTCCCTGTTTCCCCCTCCCCATCTATACTCCTCCCAGGTCCCTGCTTTTAACCCCTAGCCACCCTCCATCCCCCTTCCCTCCTTGGGGTCCCTGGTTTCTACCTCTACACTGCTCTCCCACCTCCACACTTCCCCCCACGAAGGTCTCTGCTTCCTCATCCCAGATCCCAGCTTCTTCCACCTTCCACCACTTCCCCATTCCATCCCAGGCCCCTGCTTTCCTTCCCATCCCCAACTCCAGTTTGCCCAACCAGGTCCCTGCTTCCCCCATCAATACCATTTCTCCCACTCCTCTCTGGTTCCCTGCTTCCTCACCCTGCTCCATTGCCTTTGTCCGCCTCCCCCCCCCCCATGGATCTCTGCTTCCCTTACCGCCACTATCCCATTCTTCTGGTCCCTGCTGCCTTCCCCTTCCCCACACAGCCACACACTCTCTTCCCTCCCCAAGTCCTCACTTTTTCTCTTGCCACTCTGCTCCCCTGCACTCTCTAGGTCCTTGCCTCTCTCTATGGCCCCATTACTTCTCTTAGGGCTTGTCTATACTTACGCGCTGGTTCGGCGGCAGGCAATCGAACTTCTGGGTTCGATTTATCGCGTCTTGTCTGGACGCGATAAATCGAACCCAGAAGTGCTCCCCGTCGACTCCGGTAATCCTGCTCGACGCGAGGAGTACGGGGAGTCGACGGGGGAGCCTGCCTGCCGCGTCTGGACCGCGGTAAGTTCGAACTAAGGTACGTCGACTTCAGCTACGTTATTCACGTAGCTGAAGTTGCGTACCTTAGTTCGAATTGGGGGGTTAGTGTAGACCAAGCCTTAGACTACAGCCCACAGACAACTTCCCTACATAATAGATTACCTGCTGCATCCAATATGTGTAGGCAGTTATGTGGCGGGGGAGGGAGGGTGATGTGGGGGTGGAGAGATTCCTCCACCTGCAGCATCAAGCAATCTGTGTCCTGACTTCTTAAGAACCAGGCTTCTCTGGTGCTCTGATTTTCACTGAAACCAATTGGGTTCTGCATACAGATGACTAGAATATTCCTGGAAATTCTGGGATTGATTGGCTGTGGTATTAAAAATGATTGTGCTACATACAACAGAGAAATCCCCGGAAGTTGAGTGCCAATAACTCTGAATGTTCCTGATATCCTTATAAATCTCCAGTCCTTTGTGAATCTTAAGTTATTGGCCTCAATGACTTTTTTGGGCACTGAGTTCCACAGTTTAATTACTAGTGTGTGAAAAAGAATTTCCTTTTATCAGGGTTGAGTTGCCCACCTGTTAATTTCATTGAATGTCCTCTTGTTCTTGTGCTACTTGAATTATTTATGTTTGATTAAAAAGAAACTGTTATTTCCCTCCCCTTCTCTCCTGGACTTGGTACAAAATAAATGGGGTATATTCATCTCTAGTGCAACTCCATTTATTTGGAAGGAAGTCAGAGATGAATTTGACCCCATGAGATCGGAGAAGATGGAGATGCTTATGGCATAATATGAGCAGAGTGGTTTATTGGAAGAAAAGTTCTGACAACATTATGATGAACTTTTCATTTTTTTATGGTATTACTCTTTCTTAACTCTTAGATGGGCATTAAGGAGGCCTCAGGCTTTCAGAAATCTCTAGAGAATATGTGATACTAACATCTTCATTCTTGGACCAGGGAATAACAAGGAAGAACAAAACCAAAGTATAACCTTTTCCCCTCTTGCTGCTGACATGCATTTAACAAACACATTTTCCTAAATAACACTTTTCCTTCTTTTGGTAATTGCTGATTGTTTTTGTTGTTTTTCTCTTTCTATTTTCAGTAAATAAAGAGATCAGCCTCATGATATGAGGATCTCATTTGAACTAAAATGTTTAAAACATGTAATTAATTCATAGAGCTTGATTACAGGTGTAGTGCCCCGTGAATGGTATACAATATATTCATGAGTCATAATAATGCACAAGGTGGTTACAGATGTATCAAACTACCAGTTTAGGGCTTGACCCTCTCTACAGATAAGTGGATGTGCATCGTCAAGCATCTTGACATATAGATTGACAGTGGCACTTGTTGGTATCTTTACTCAGAGCTAGATGTGCCCTCATGCAGAAATAGCAAACAGAGACAGGAACTCCCAAAGTTTTCCTCTGAATTCTTCTGCTCTGGGCTGGATTTTTCCCTATCATAAAAGAAACTAGAGATCCAGTCCACCAATGCCCTGGGGTGGGGACTGAGAGGAAATGAGAACATTGGTTTGGAAAGTGATGGTTCCTGAAGATTTGTGTGCTGCTTGTTAGGACTGTGCAACCTTTGCAGAATCATTGCAACAGAGAAGAAACACCACCTCCTAAATTTAAAAATCAAGAGACAAGCCAAAAACCCACTGCTTAAAGTACAGAGAAGGCAGAGCTAAGCAAATGTGGATTTAGAACTGATTTAATCTTCCATCACACCCAGAAGGCAATATACATCTTTTATGCCAAATTTCTGTCCTGAGTTGCACACAAGTGTAAGCAGAGTCAGAATGAACTCTACCCTGACATCTGGTGGTGAATTATGGCAAGTGTGGAAAAGAACTCCAGGGGCTGATCTTGTTTGCATAGGCACACCCACTCGCCTGGCATGAAACAATAGCAACTCAAAGTGGTTACTTTGGCTGGTGTGGGATCCCCAGTTTTCTCTGTTATTGGGGCAGGAAGAATAAAGTTTTGTTACCCTGATTCTGTGAATCAAGGCCAGTGGAACTGTTGTATAACAGAAGGACTGAGTGAGTCCTTCACCATTACCTAA